AGGTCTTTCCATGTTTTTTAGCTTACAAATCCAAATTTTGTATGGTTGTTGTTAGTTCTTTTTACTTTATTGTTTTTTTTTTTTTTTTACTTTAGAGAGAGTGAGCATCGTGTGGGGGAGAGAGGCAGAAGGACAGGGTGGGTGGGGAGTGGAGGGAGAAATTTAAACAGGCTCCATGCTCAGTGCAGAGCCTGATGTGAGGCTCAATCCCATGACCCTGGGATCATGACTTGAGCCCAAATCAACCGAGCCACCCAGGACCCCTAGTTGTTATTAGTTCTTATCCTCAAACACTATAGGTAGTATTTTTTTTAACTTTCTTATAAAATTTCAAAATAAATGAATCATTTCTTTCAGTGCCAGGAAAATAAGTAATGTAGATTTTTCCATTGTAATGTATTTTAATTAAAAGTGTTACAGCAAGTATTCATTGAATTTAATATGACTTTTCATCTTTCCTAAAATGTTTAAACCTCCTATAAACTTGTATTTTAACAAAAAAATATATGCATGTACATAAAGAATGTACACATTTAGTAATCAAGGTCTAAAATTAGTAAAAACTAAAATTTATTGTTATAAAAAGAGAAAGCAATAGAACATAGCAAATCTGCCTAGTCATTACAAAAATTAAACACATACACACATAATTCGTTTTCTAAATCAATGAGGTAGATTGTGCAGTGAAGCTACTGAAGAAATGTTTTTAAAGAATTCTTAAAAGTTTTAAAAAGAAAAAAAATTTTAAAGTTTACCAACATACTCAGAACACAGAAACCACAAACAGCAGACCAGCAGACCAGAAAAGCAACATAAGACTAAATTAAAATCTGTACTATGTGGGTCTAGTCTCCTCATATACATGACACTGGAGTAATGTGACTGTTACTTTTGTTTTCTATTACATGACATATTGCTACTTTCTTCAACTGGAAATCGGAGTTGAACCAATTAGCTAACAAACATCTACTATAGAATTTACTAATTAAAAAAAAAAATTAAAAACTAAACTAGGCCATTTAAATAAAATATGCAATAATATAAGCTGTTTGGTTTTAGTGTCAAAAGAAACTGCTAAATAAAATACTATACTATACTTCAGGTAGAAAATAAACTTCATCTTTAGACTTCTATGAAAGAATTAATGTTAATACCATCTAAATGAAAAAAAATATTCAAAAGGAATGGCATGATTTAGGAAGGCCTATGGCTACACAAAATCACTGCCATCATTAGTGGTGATATTTGTAGTTGGTATAAGCTTTCTGATATATAGTGAACTGAACACTGCAGCTTTAATTGAAGTTTGAATGTTATAAACAGTTAGATGTCTGGCTCTGGCCTGCATTCTAATACCATCAGCAGAACAGAGATGGGAAGTATAAACAAACCTTTTAACTAGATTACAGTCTCTAAAATGGCCAAGAAATCCTTCAGCAAAAACTCCTGTGACAAATGTGGAAGAACAAAAATGATTCTGGAATAATGCTAAAAAATAGCCTCTACATTTCTGCCATTACTGCAACATGTATTTGACTTTCTAAATATTTTGATGTTGCTTAGGATTCATTCATTAACGATACTTTACATTTGACTTTCCAAATAAATAAAAATCCTTTTTAACTTACATAGCTGCTGTTTTTTAGATCAGTGTATCCCTAGTAAGGAAGCTATTTAAAAATCAATAGGTTTCTTTTGTTAGATGTGGAATACCACCCTCCCCCAATATTAGTGACTGTACATATACAGCCAAGATTATTATTTTTAGATAGTAGTAATATTAAGAATATATAAATTAAGTTAATTAATGGTTAACAGATCAGTAGACATGTCTGTACTTAAGATATATAGAAAACAATGGATTTGGATACAAGAATAAAACTAAATATAATTTTGCATTCACTCAACCTGAAGAAACATTTTAGGTTTTTACAGCTTCCAAGATTTAGACATTAAATTAAAAAAAGGGGGGGAGGGCAGCACAAAAATGTAAATTTTTAATACTAGCCCCATACAGAAATTTTTCCTCTCATTGCTTGAATCTTGGTTGGTTGGCAAAGAACTCAGTAAAAAGCATGGATGTGCAAAAATTTTTCACCACTGCAAAAGGCTGGTGACTGATTTATATAATTCATTTTAGTCCTTTAAAATAATATGCTCTAATAAATTACTCAATGACACGAAATTTAATTACAAGTTCTCTAAGAAAAGGCTAGATAGGTCAACCGAAACGGGTCTCAAATTAGAATCAGTCACCTACAACTTTGAATGAAGTGTATGGTTTTTACCAGTATGATGTCATTAGTGATTTTCTTTTCCATTATGTCCAGTTACATTAGAAGATATACCTTAATATATGTTAAGCCTGGTTCTCATCTTGTCTCTGAAAAATTCTACTGAGTCATTCCAACTTCTGAAATTTTACATGATATAGAAGTATCTCAAACAGAAACAATGACGAGTTAGAATCTTTAGTTTTAATCTTTATATTTAGGTCTTATCTTTCCCTGTTAAGAATTACTTTTAGGTTATCTAAGGAAATTATTGGAGACCAATGACTTATTCTATCTGACAATTACTTAGATTGTTCCTAAAAGCAATGAAATTAATTTGGTATAAAATTTCCTTTCTGAACTATAATAGGTAACAGAGAATAGTTCCTCAGCATTTAAAAATATTTGTAAATTCTACAGGACATAATGCATTGGCATAATTGCTTATAGAATAATATCATCAATTTATGGATATAGGATGAATGTGTATCTACTCAGCACAGATATGAAAATTATTTGATTAGTAATTTTTAAAAATTACTCTTTTCTCCTAGAAGCAAAGAATATAAAAATCAACTCTAGTTAACTGGGTCAAAAAGTATTTTAATTCAGTAGCTGCTTTAAAGAATAATAATTTAGGCATCTGGAGAATCCAGCAAGTTGTCCATTCTTATACTAAAAATAATTCTGACTTTAAGTAGTAGTAAAAAAAAAATGCATTAAACTTAATTCTATATATGTAATGTGGTAATTATGAAAATCTTGTAAGATACAGGATCCAGAAGATATGTGTATATAAACACTCAAGTATTAGACAATATAAAGTCCCCTCTCTTCAGAGGTTTTCCATTATCAACATTTACATTAAAATGTTCATAGTAAACATTCATCGGGTCACAAATTGTTGGAACTTTCAAATTTCATGTAACAAAATGCTAAATGTAACTCATGCAAGAGAAAGGAAGTTCAATATGTAGAATGCCTAAATGTAATTTTTGCCATAGAAAGAGAAGGTTGACTTTATGTATACAACTGACCCCTTGAACAATGAGAGTGCTGACCTGTGCACAGTTGAAAATCCAGGATAATTTCTGACTCCCCTAAAAGTTAAGTACCAAAAGCCTACTGTTGATCAAATCCTTACCAATAACATAAACAGTCAACTACACATATTATGTATGTTACATGTATTATGTATTGTATTCTTATAATAAAGCTAGAGGAAAAAAGTTAAGAAAAATCATAAGGAAGAAGAAAATACTTACAGTACTATAAAAAATTGCATATAAGTGGACCTATAGTTCAAACTTGTGTTGCTCAAGGGCCAAGTGTATTTTATTTCAAGCTGTACACTGGTCTGTATCTAGGCTCCATGCACACTTGTTTGTATTTATTCTTATTAAGATTTAAAATTTTTTGTTTTTCTATCCTTGTAAACTTTTAGAAATTTTCCATCACTCCATCAATAAGCTACTGGAGTGATGATTTTACTAATGTTTACCAGAGTACTTACTGACTGATAAAAGCTATTATGTCTGTATTTTAAATTAAAGTTATGAATTTTCTGTGATTGAGTATTTTGCTTCTGTATATAAAATGTTTTGTCACTGATAGGTTTCCCCATTTGTAACATGGGAATAATGTTCAAAATTCACAGGACCAGTGTTTTGATATATTTATCACAGTGTTACATACTTATAATAATTGGTAATTATGATTATTATTAAAATAAAACGTTAAGAATGACTTTGAGAGATCAGAATTGGCCTTCAGGAGTCTATTTACCTGCACAAGATACTGCACCAACAAGGGAGCCCGAACCCCTCCTTCTTTAAAATTGTGACTCAATATTACTCTAATAAGTACAGTTTAAGGAAGACAAAGAAAATTCAGGAAATCTCTAATTTTTAAATTACATATGAAAGCCATGATAGGAACTAAGATAGTATTCTTCGGTTTTGAAACATCCATTAACTAAGAAATTTACAACTCATTTTACTAAAGTTATATCACAGAGTGAGGATTAATAATTGCAATTAACCAATTTAGAGGTAGAACTGGGAAGTTTCTAATGAGGATCTTGGAGGAATTTATCTAGTACACAATGAAAATTCCCAAACTCCTGAATAGTATTTACCATAATTATTCCATGATAAATAAACTACACTGTTAGCTTAAAATATAAAAGATAAAGAAATGATCAAAATGAAAATGTACCATGTCTTCCATTGAATCATAAAAGATAGCCTGGTATATGAAATGTAAAAAGAAAAGTTACTTTTGAGAAAAAAAGTTTCAAGTTTGGAGAGTTTGGGTTTTGTTTTTTGTTTTGGAATAATTTAATGAGAGATACTTCAACAAACAATGTTGATAATCTTCAAATAAAAGTATGTATCAATAAAATACTAGTAATGATGGTCACATAGACGTTTTTTATGGTCTAAAATTAGTGAATTATATACAGAATAGAAATCCCCAGAATACAGTATTAAGTGGAAAATTTTTCATTATATATTTCTTCTATTTTAATAAAATACAGCAAAATCCCTCTTAAACATGCATTTTTCCACCTAACAGTATCCGTTTATTTAGTTAATATAAAATTTATTTAGAAACATCAAAATAAAATTATGACCAATATACTTGTGGAATACAATTAAAATTTCACATTAAACTGTAGGGGCTATCCTTGTTTCTCAGATGCCTAGCACAGTGCCTGACAGACAGTAGATGCTCAAAAGATGTTTAATGAATACCTAAGTACAATCTGTTTTGCACATACATTCAAAATACAGACAAGTTTGCAAAGGTACATAAGTTGGATATAGGCTTTCTGGCTGACTTCATGGGGTCCCACTGATGACTAGGAGTAAATCTTCATATCCATAGAAAACTGGAAAGTTGGTAAGTGTCTGGGTAAGGACCAAAAAAACAAAGTCAGGGAAACATGTCACCTAAGTAACAGTTGCTTTATAGAGCTGGTAAAGGTGGCCTAATCATTCCAATAACGTATTGCACTAATCTCTCAATGAAATGAAATTTAAGTGTATCTTGAATATTTGCTAGTATATTTTTAATAGGAATTTTTTTAAATCTCTTATTAAAAATAAATTACTTTTGTCAAATTGCATCTTGTTCAGGACTAGAAGGAATATATTTTTACTTTCTATGAGTATTATACTGTTAACAGGATTTAATTTAGCGAATAGAAAAAATGAGAGTTACAGTAAAAACAAAGAAAAACAAATCATGTTAATGGAAAAACTGTAGCAGGGAGAAAAAAGAAAAAAGGAAGAAAGGAAAGAAATCCCACATATGGGAGCAAAGAAATTCAAATATGCCTAACTCTAATATCAATTACACCAACTAATCAGGGGGCCTACTGTGCACCAGACACTGTACTGTGAGGGATATAAATCTTAAGATACAAATCTTTAATCTTAAGTGGTTCACAGAGAGCAAGACTAGCAGGTAAATGTTTATAATATAATATGGATCATTCTTATATGCATGTCTAACCCACACGTAAAAAGTATATTTACTGATTAATTAGAAGTATAGAGAAAAAATAAGCATCAAGGGAAACAGTTCTTAAAATAGTAACTAACCACAATGAGAGACATCAGTACGTCTTAAATCAACAAATTGTTGAATTATAGACAAAATGTTGCTTAAAGCTATTTACCTAAATATTCTTAAAATAATATGCCTCCACATAAAATTCTTAAATGTTATAGACAAAATTGTGAATGACAGTTTCATTTCCAACAAAAGAAAATGAGGTCGCGTAGGATAGGAAATGTTAAGAGATCTAAGTTCCTTGGTCTATGCTCTGCTCACTTACAGGTGTTGGAGCCTAGGCAAGTTCCTCAAGCTCTCTGAACTTCAGCAATATGGAAAATGAGTAGTTGGATAAACTGACCTCTAAGATATCAATTAGATGAAAATTAAAATCCTAAAATATGTCTTAATATTTAAAAAATAAGCCATAATAAAAAAGGTTTTCTAAACATAAATCATTATCCAACTCAGAGGAAGTCTGGAATTCTCAAATTATACAGGGTTATCCAGGGAGTGGTGAGATAAAGGAATGTTTTCAAAAGAAAAGCAGACATAAATTAAGTAAAGGTATTATACTCAAGACTGTAAATTTTCACTCAGCTGCCGACGGGGCAACCACCATCCAATTATCTGCACAATTCGCTTTATCTAAAATTGATTTCTTCACTAAGTTCTACTTTCTACCTCTTATGTTAAGGTTGCTGAGATATTAGAGTGAGGACAAGAAATCCTAGGTGGACCTGGAATAGGAGTATCGATGTTGGGAGAAAAACTTGGAACTTGACACAGATTTCTGCTGAAATACACCGATTACACCTCAGAGAAAGGTAAGAAATTGTTCAAATTTATAAAGGAAGGAAGGAAATAAGGCCATATTGTTTACTGCTACAGAGCTTTTTTTCTTGTGTCTAAATGTCTACTCTTGTACACATTATTGAAAACATCATAGAATAAGTTTCTACATTTGCAATGCTTTTCTATCACAAATATAAACATATATTTTGGCTTAACAAAAAATAAAAATTAAAAGTATTTTCATGTTTTATAATATGTATGTCAAATATCCATCTAGATTTATTTTCCTTCAATCCTTTCTATTTGATCAAATTGCTGTTTTCATATTATCAGTCTGTTCAAAAAATTGCTGTTTTACAGAAGAGTATTTTTGCTGACATAAATTATGGGATCAGAGGTACCAATGCAGTTACAAAAAAGGGTGTGTGTGTGTGTGTGTGTGCGCGCGCGTGAGAGAGAGAGTGAGAAAGAGAGAGAGAATATATGAATGTGTGCATCCATCTTCAAGGAAAGGATAAAGAAATGTATGTATGAAACAAAATACCACTTTACAATGTAAGCCCTAGTAAAAGGCCTATGTCGGAAACACACTTTCTAGCATTTGTGAAATAAAATACAGCACTGAAATTGAAAGCCATAGTGATTTTTATGAAAACTGTTATTCTATAAACGTAAACCTGAATTTACCTTTCAATTTATGTCTAACTACAGTGAATATACTAACTACAACTTCATGATTTGACTCATGAAAATATATTTTAGAAATTTGTCTCCTTTCATGTACAGTGAGCAATTTGATTCAGTACCCCAAGAGACGAAAAACTCATCTCAATTTACAACAGTAAATAAATAATTCAGTTAAAATTGAAAGTGGTACCAATCCAGCAAACTATTGATGGAGAGGTTTGGCCTTCCATGAAGCCAGAACAACATAAAGTTTTCAATGGGGATTACTTGTTCAGGCAAGTTACAAAGATTAGAAAAATGCTCAGATTAATTACAAAATAACTAATATTCCCATCTTATGGAAAATAAATAGCAAGAACCTATGTAGGGAGAGCCAATACTAGTGGTCTTTAAACTTTAAGCATTTTTTGCTTTCAACTTCATATGCTAAAATATGAAACAAACATGTAACAAAAAAAGCTGTAATACAAGTCAAAACCTAACCAAAGGCCTCTATCAACTAAAAATTTGAAATCTTCCATGCAAGTCAGACACAACAACAACAAGAAAAAAGGAAAATTAAACCCAGAAAGCAAAAAGCAATCAAGTCTGTTCCAACACTGAAGTCAATTTCTAAATCACATACAGAACCAAAAAGGGGAAACACTCAGGTCTACAAATGGATAAGCAGTTCCAATACAATCCAGATCCCGACATTTTCCCACTCAGAAACAAATGCAGTGGAGCTTTTCCTAGGGAAAAAGGAAAAAAGCTCTCCAAATGAATTTTTTCAAGTGACATCTAGAAAGTGTGCCTCTTTCTGTCTCTTTCCCTGGCGCCTCATTGGAGGAAGGAGGGGGTTGTTTTTGTATTCCCCCCCATTGGAGCAAGACACAATCAGATGTTAGCTGGAGAAGAGAAACCACTTTTGACAACAGCAAATAAAAATAAAAGTGCCCTTCCTCCTCTGACAGGATGGGCACCCACCTCACACACCCCTCCCCACTCAAACCCCTCCTTCACTCCCCCCCCAGCACCACCCCCTCCTCACCCCGGAGCTCCACTGCGTATGTGGTTTGGTGCTACTGTTGCCCCGGAGTTAAAGTCAGAGCCAGAGGAAGGCAATGAAGCCCCCACAGACACACTTACCTTTCCTGCCCCCCACTTTTGAGTGCCTTCCCTGGAGCTGTGGAGGATGACACAAAGGGTAATAAAGGGGGGGAGTGGAGGAGGAGGAGGCGAAGGAGGAGGAGAGCTGGGGAAGTGGCTGCTCCTGGGTGTAGTGAGATGTCTCCAGCCAGGGCCAAGCAGCAGCAGCAGCAGCAGCAGCAGCAGCAGCAGCAGCAGCAGCAGCAGCAGCAGCAGCAGCAGCAGCAACAGCAGCAGCAGCAGCAGCAGCAGCAGCAGCAGAGAAGGGTCTGTGTTGCTAAGAGGCTTTGGTCTCTTTCTCTCCTCCTCTCACGGCCAAAGAGGAGGAGGGTGGAGGGGGCTCGGGAGGGAGGCTAGTGGAGGGGTGAGGGGGTAGGAGTCGTGGATGGGGGTTTTCGAAGAAGAAGAAACTCCTTCTTCTCTCAGGCTCAATCCCCCTCTCAGGTCTCAGGGCTGGAGGGTGGGGGAAGGAACTCAGCCGCCTTCCCCCCACCCCCCTCAATTCAAGGTTGAAGTGGGGTAAAATTAGTGTCCTGCCCCTTTAAAAATAGAAATAAAAGGTGCCCCCCCTCTGCCACTGCCTCTCTCTTCATCATCAGCTGCTGCTGCTGCTGGGGTCTCTCTGCTGGGGGGGGAGGGGGGGTTCGGGTAGAAGAGACGGGAGGCACTCACTGCGCATGTCCCTCTCTGACGGGAGGCTGGTTGGTTGAAGGCAAGAGGAGGGGGAGGGGAGGAAATGATCTGGTTTCCCAGAAGGCTCCGAGGCACTTGCGACCCGGAAGACGTTGTAGCAGGGGGTAGAGGGGCGGGGGCGGGGAGTAGGAGGAAGTCGCTACTCTTTAACACCCCCCTGCCCCCTCCTACCTCCTAAGGGAAAGTGGAGGAACGGAAGTGGGCGTGGACGGAGACTAATATAGTCACGTGTTTGGGCGGGAGTGGGGCGGGGTGGGAGACGCGTTGCGTGCGCGGGGAATGCCGGGAGAATTGGTGTTCCGTTGGCCGCGGCAGGTGAAGCTGAGCTGACTACGCGGCCAGGGGCGCTTGTGAATCGCTTTCTGTGGTGGCTGGCTTCCTGCTCTGCCCTGGTAAGGGCAGACTTTTCTGTGAGAGGTAACATGGGGTAGGCTGGCCTCAAAACGAAGGCCTAAGGTCGCCAGTGGCGAAAGACTAATAGAAAAGAATGAGGACAGAAGGTTGTGTAGACTCGGAATGCGGGAAGGGGGCAGGCTTGTCTAGGCCAGGCAGGCCAGAAATCAGGCAAGCCCCTTAAGTCTCTTGGCTTTCCTGTGAGGCTGCCTACGAATCCCTGAAGCCTTCAAGGATTCCTCGTGGAACTAGATATCTGGCGGGGTGTTGACTACACACCCGGTGGTGGTTATGAGGAATGTGATCTTGCTGTTAGAGAGAAATGGAATCTTTGGAGCCTCTGCAGATGACTGTTGGCTGCTTCTTCAGCTCAGAGCAGGGGGAGAGAAAAGCGCCATGTGTGAATTTTGACAACTTGGCATTACATATATTGCTTGTATTAGGTATGACTCTTATTCCTTACTTCGCTACCCTCCTCGTAATTCTGGAATGCTTTTGGGGGAGGGAACAAGCGGGAAGTCTTGAATGGAATTGCCCTTCCGTATCTTGGCGTTGCTGCTGCACCAAAACGTTATGCTTGTTCTCAGAAAGGGATATGGGATTGTGTAGTCTTCTGTATGGAGTGTTACGGTTGATAGAGAAGGGACATTATAATTTTTTTTCCTTTTCTGTAGTGTAGATGAGAGATTGTTAAATGAATATTTTAAGTTCCTTTGGTTTCAAGTCTCGGATTTAGATCCTTTGATTTCTCAATTAAATGCTACCTGTTTTTGCTGGAAATGTTTGCCTCATGAGGTAATATTCACACTATTAAAGGATTCATGTATTTACATCAGTAAGTCTTTTTTTAGTAAAGTAACACCGGTTTTCACTCTTAACTAGAACCATTTCAATCTTTCATTTAATTTATTTTGTAAAAAAATACCTTGAGATTATCCCTCAGTATCGTTTAAGGCCAATAATTGGTATTATTTAATTCTGTAAATAATTATTCTTTAGGATATACTATCGATTGAAGTTGTTAGTGTTCTACATTTTACTTACGCTTTGGCAGTTGACCCTATTTATGCATCATTGCCTAGTACTGACTGCTCTCTGCGTTCAATAATCTTGTCAAGTGGAATCAAAACTAGAATCCTGTGCCTTAAAATTTTATTTATATTGTAACCAAATATATATCACTTTATAAAGGAAAAAGTCACAGCAAAGTAATTTAAGTGCCTTATATAACAAATTTTAATTTTTTATGTTAAAATATTAAATATGTAAAAAAAGTGCAAAAATCATAGGTATGCAGTATAAATGAATAATTATTAAGTGAACTCAGTGATCACTACCAAAGTCAAGAACTAGAACATTCCTGGCACTGGGGACCTACTCCTACCCCCCATCCATTCTTGAATATTCCTCCTGCTTCACCACTACAGGAGGTTAACAGCAACCAGATTTTTATGGTAACTGTTTTCTACATTTATTTCAAGTACTTTTTTAAGCACCAGTGTTGGCATTCCCACCCAATGTAGATGAATTTTGTCTGTATTTTACCTATATTTAAAAGAGTCAAACACATTATGTGTTATTTTCCTCACGTATCAGCAATATTTAACCCTATTAGTACATTTAGCTACAGTTCATGTATTTTCATTTTGTATAGTAATGTCTATAGTGTCACATAGTAAGTCTTTTTCTGAATAAGCCCCAATTAATTTAACTCATCTAATGTTAATGGACATTTGGATTGTGTCCAGATTTTAGCAGTTATGAGCAGTGCTACTGTGAATGTTCTTATGCATGTATTTTTCTGCACATAGCATGCATTTTTGTAGAATGTAGAGTATGCCAAATTTTTCAAAAAGAGATATCAATTTAAACTCCCACCAGCAGTATGTGATACTTTTTTCTACAGTCTTGCCAATAGTTGATGTTTTTTGTTTATGCCAACATGATAAATGTGGCTTTATGTTTTTACAGTGCCCTAATTATTAATGATTTTGAGCATTTTGTAAAATATTTATAGGATATTTGGATTTCTTCTTCTTTGAAATGTCTTTTCCTTTTCACAGTGTTTCTATTGGGTTGTCTCTGTTTTACTTGAAGAGTTGACCAGTGTGGCAAATATCATCTCTATACTTGGAGCATTTCTCACTTCCTGGATGATTTTTATCCTCATTTCATTCCTTACTGGCTTACATGCTATTCCTAGTGTTCTAAATGTATTTGTAATTTTTAACTCAAAGGAAGTGGTTCTGTACTTGTTCTACCCAATACCGTAGCCAGCTTGCAGTTGACTGTGGACCACTTGAAATGTGACTAAAAGTGTTAGTTTTATGAAGTGCCAATTTAAATTTGAAAATTGATACTTGATTCAGTTGTTGAGAAACCCTTAAGTATGTCTGGAACAACTTGGGTATGTAAATGAATTTTCTCAATTGTAAACTTAATAAAAATAAAGATCAAAAGGTGCTTGGGTGGCTCAGTCAGTTAAGTGTCCAACTCTTGATTTCCATTCAGGTCATCATCTCACAGTTCTTTAGATGGAGCGCCGCCCCCCCCCACCCCCCCGACCCCTGCCAGGGCTCTGTACCGACAGCCTGGAGCCTGCTTAGAATTCTGTTTCTCCCTCTTTCTTCTTCTCCCCTGATCCTGTGTGGTAGCTCTCTCTCTCAAAATAAGTAAATAAACTTTTTAAAAAAATAAAGATCAAGTATTTCTGAAGACAATTTAGCAAGTGAATTGTCATGTTCTGTAAGTGTCAAATACCAGATTTCTAAAACTTAGTATGAAAACAATGTAAAATAATTCAACTTTTATTATAACTGCTTCTTGAAATTATGATAAATTAATTTTACCTTGTTTTACTTTTATTACTGTGGGTACTAGAAAATTTTGAGTGGCATTATATCTCTCTCGGACAGTGCCGCTCTTACCACCAATGTTTAGTTCATATTCCGATATTTTTACCACTTTCAGTCTTCATTAATTTTTGCATCTCTGAATTTTCTTTAAGGATCTTTCTGCTTCTGTTTTTAATATAACAGGAGATTTTGTTTAGAATCTTCTTAAAATTTTTAATTTATTTTTTGAGAAGCAGATACAGAGCATGAGCCTGGGGGGAAGGGGGAGAGCCAGGGATACACAGAATCCTAAGCAGGCTCCAGGCTTGGAGCTGTCAGCACTGTCATGGACCGCAACATCATGACTTGAGCTGAAGTCTGATGGTTAACCAACTGAACCACCCAGGTGCCCCAAGAATATCTTTAATTCAGGTGTACTGATGGCCAGGTATCTTAATTTTTTGCTTACCTTCCAACTGTCTTGTTTCACCTTCAATCTTGAAGGAAGTTTTGGGTCTTTTAAATCGTAGGATTGTGGTGGGTTTTTTTCTTGAAGATAATGATCCGCTGTGGGTTTTTGTTTTTGCTTTTTGTTGTTGTTGTTCGCTTCCATTATTGATTTTGAGAAGTCACTTGTCAATCTAATACTTGCTGCTTTGAAAGAAATCTTTAAAGAATGTTTCTTTGTCTTTTCTACTATTTCTTTGTGGCATTTTGTGTAGGATTCTTTCTCCTGTTTTGAATTAATTAAGATTCTTGAATCTGTGGATCAGTGTCTTTTTAAGCAGTAAATCACCTATATCTATCCGTACTGTTTCTAGCTACTTACTAAAAATTACAGTTATAGCTTTTATTAAGACAGTATTCATAATTTGTTGTGATGAATAATTCCAGTTTCTTAATTTTTAATGGGTCTGTTTCTGCTGGTTCATGATTTTGTTTTTCTTGTGTGCCTGTGTGCCAGTTGTTGGATATGAAAAATCATAAGAACATATAAGTCCTACGATAATGGGATCTTTTTCAAGAAGGCGTGTTTTCCTAGGAAAGGTAACAGGCATGCTACCAGTCCCAAGTCACTTAGTTCATTCATGTTCAGGACTTCAGAGTACTTCTGTTTTACACATAACTTTAAGTAGGGCTTCCAGTCATGAGTTCGACGAGTTCCATTTTACATCCAGTTCTTCTTTATTCAAATAATATTGTTCTTAAGATCTCAACTTTAAATTTGAATGATGATTTATTTGCATCCTAGGTTTGTTGAGGTTGTGTTTCAGTTTTCTTCTTCATAGCTTAGCAGAGCTCCCAGAGGCTCAGCCTTTCTTGTCGCTCAGTCTTTTCTTCTGGTTTGGTACAAGTCTCCAGGAAAAAGTGACTGAGTATGGTGTTTATGTTACTGGTGTACCTGCCTGTATTCTGCTTCCAGCCAAAATTGTGTGTTTTAACTTGTCATACATTAGTTTAATTTTTTTTTAAATCAGATTGGCCTCTACAGCATAAGATGCCAAGTTAATTAAAATTTAGAAAATATATCAAACTTTTTTGTGAGTTAATAGTTTCAAATGTAAAAGAACATGCACTTGAAATATTAACTATTTCAACATAGCTTATTAAAAAGAGCTTTATTTATCACAGGTTCACTTCTCTAGAATGTGGCTCACCAGAATTGCACCATGGTGGGTTGAAATGGTTGGGCCTTTACCCCGCACGTTGCTAGGCCCTAGGAAGGATGTGATGTTGGACAGAGTGGCTTTTAAA